CTCTCTCTCTCTCTCTCTCTCTCTCTCTCTCTCTCTCTCTCTCACACACACACACACACACACACACACACACACACACACACACACACACCCTAACACAGGCCACAACAGGTGAGCACACCCAATCCACGAAGTCCGCAGTCTCTCATAGCTCCTGTCTTCCTCACCTTTGCGGGCTAACCCTGACAACAGTGTCAGGGTAGGAGACCCCCGCAGTGTCAAAGATCGAGGGGTCAGCACCCCCGATCGGTCTCGTCAGGTATGGTGCAGTCGATGGCCCCCACGTATCACGCTCTCCTTCCTCCACCGAAGCAGGATTCCGAACAGAAGTTAAGTGAGACCAGCAACGACCAGGAGCATACCGCAGCTCCCTCGGCACGCCCCCCTAACACCCCAGTGTTCTTCCCTGCGCCGCCATGGTCCCGCCAGCGCCAAGTTTTGGCAATCGAAGCAGACAGATGTTGTCGGCCCAGTGAACATCCCCCAATGCCCGAACGCTGCCACTGGGGCGGCGCGTTAGCGCAACGTTACCACTGCGCTAACGCACCACCAGCACCTCTTTCGAGAAGAACTAGTGTCGAAAACGAGTTTGTAGGAAATTAAAAATGAAGCAACTGCGTTTCAACACCTTTCTTGAACCAGAAAACAAAAACGAAAGTCTTTGTATTTTATACACCTAAAAACAACCCCTGGATGTGCAGCTCACGATGCATCTCCGAAGTCACGTGTGTGACACGTTGAGCTAGTTCAACGTTGAACGGGCTCAATGGTGTATGTGGGACTTGGCCCCTGGGATCACTTGCCCGGCCAAATAAAGTAGAAAAAGTGAAAATATATATAATTTTTATTATTATTATTATTTGAAATTTGGTAAAGAATTTTGATGTGACTGAACAACTTTTGCCTCAGGGTCACATCAAAATTCTTTACCAAATTTCAAATAATAAAAAAAGAAAAAATATATATATTTTTACTTTTTTTACTTTATTTAGCGGCCGGGCAAGTGATCCCAGGGGCCAAGTCCCACATACACCATTGAGCCAGTTCAACGTTGAACTAGCTCAACGCGACTTCTGTGATGCATCGGGAGCTGCACATCCAGGGGTTGTTTTTAGGTATATAAAATACAAAGACTTTCGTTTTTTGTTTTCTGGTTCAAGAAAGGTGCTGAAACGCCCCCTACCCTGGCCATCTGTTGAACTACAAACCCCACTTGGAGTGGTGTAGGTTGCTTTTAGGTGTATAAAGTACAAAGACTTTCGTTTTTGCTTTGTGGTTCAAGAAAGGTGCTGAAACGCCCCCTACCCTGTCCATCTTCCGTTGAACTACGAACGCCACTTGGAGTGGTGTATGGGTTCAACGGTGCTTGTGACATCATGACCTTCTGTGGGAGGACCCTCTGACAGCCGTGGGAGGACACTCTGACAGAGAGTGTTCATGCTGTGTTTGGCTGTGCAGCTCCAAACTCGTTTCTGTGAATGCACCAAGCCAGGAGTACTGTCTACGTTCATTTCATGTTCTAGTGAGTCCCTGTCTCCCACGTCCCGTAGTATGTGGAGCCTTTCACTGAGGATTGCTGTATCTTCCATTTTACTTTTTAGAAAATACGGACAAAGATTCCAGTAGCATTTGGTTATTCATTGTTTTTTGGGGAAGGGGGAAAAAAGCTTTGAGCAGCATTTGATTCTCCTTTTTTGCCTTTGTTTTGAGTTTTTAAGTCGCGAAAACCGTGTCACACCGTTGTGTTGAGCTAGTTCAACGGCGCATGTGGGACTTGGCCCCGGGTAGCCTAGCTGTATAGTGAATAAAAGCGGTATTTAAAAACAAAAGCAGAAGGCAAAAAAAAAAAAAAAAAAAGGGAGTGCAAGGACCTTTAGAAAGTCGTTTGCAGACATAGAACGTAGTATTATTTTGAATATTTTCTTATTTCAGAAGTACTATTTGTTAAAAATATACTTACTCAAAGTTGCTGAAACTTGCTGTTAATATTCATTAATACTCGAAGTTGGGGTAACCAAGCTAGATTGGGGTGTGAGATCCTGTAGAGGCTTGGTTGGTACACAGTATTGGCGCAGTAGAGATTGGCTGGTTGGAATGGATACGTGAGATTAGGGTTAGGGTAGCATGTGAGTTCTGAGTAGATAAGCATTCTGCGTAGTCAGCATCAATCTCTAGCTTATTACCTCAATCATCTTGAAGTGTTCCTAAATTATCCCAAATTCTCATCAATCATCAATGTACTCCAATTATAAGGGACGCTGGGCCCGGCTCCCAGCACGTGCTGCTCCCCACGAATAGATTGGAGCATTTAAAAAAATAAAAAATTTAAAAAAAAACGAAAGAACCCAGCACAAAAGAGAAGAACAAGGAATGAAAATCCTAACAAGCAAAGATGAGACGGGGGAGAGGGGGGAAGCAATAGGGAGAGAGAAGAGGAGAAAGTGGCGACGGGGAGAGCGGACGGGGGAAAAGGGGAAAGAGGAGAGGAGAGCGGAGAGAGAGGGGGGAAGGGGGAGAAGGGGAGTAGAGGGTGAGAGAGAGGAAGAGAGAGGGAGAGAGAGGGAGGCAAGAAGGAGATAGAGCAGAAGAGAGGAAGGAGGCCCACAGAACGAGGGAACGGGGAAGAGCAAGGAGGAGACTGGGGGAGGGTAATGAGAGACGGGGAGAAAAGGGGAAAGAGGGAGGAAAGAGGCAGAGAGGTGGTAGGTTAGTGCAGCAGAGCACAGAAGAGGGGCCATAAAGGAACAGAAGTGAACACAGGGCAGAGCGTACCAGGCATAGCAAGAGGGGAGGAGTTACGCCGCAGAAATGAACACTTGACGGGAAGGAAGGGAGAGGACGACAGGGGTGGGGAGGGGGGCGAGAGCGCGAGGGGGGAAGGGAGGGGGTGGGCGGAGAGGGAGGTTCAAGCGCGGGGGAAGGGTATTTTTGCAAGAGGCACTTACAACTCCGAGTCCACCTTCGAAACGGATACTGCAGAGTCTTAACAGCTCCTTGGCCTTCTTGATCACCGGCATACACCCTTCCAGAGCGAGCTTCCGAGAGATAACGTCCACGTCCATGACGAGTAGAGAGAGGACGAAGGGTCCTTGATTCTCCCAACAATTCTCACCTGCCTCCTCCTCCTTCCTTTCCACTTCCACTCCGCTCCACCTGTTCCTCCTCCTCTCCCTTCTTTACTCCCTTCCCCAGACGTTCTCCTTCTCCTCGTCCTCCTCCTACTCCTCCTCCTCGTCCTCCTCCTCCTCTTCCTCCTTCTCCTCCTCCTCCTCCTCCTCTCCCTTCCTTACTCCCTCGCCCAGACGTTCTCCTTCTCCTCCTCCTCCTCCCCCTCCTCCTCCTCCTCCGCCTCCTCTTCCTTCTCGTCCTATCTTCGTCTCCTCGTCCTATTAGCCCTCCTTTTCCCCCTCCTCTACAACTAGTCCTCTTTCCGCTGCCTCATACACCACCTTTCCTGCCACCCCTCCTCCTCGTCCTCCCCTCCCTCCCTCGTTCTCCACCTTCTATTCCTCCTCCTCCTCCTCCTCTTCTTCCCCCTCCCCCTCTTCCTACCCCTTTCTCCTCCTCCTTATCTTAATACTGTTCCTCCGTTTACCCCCCTCTTCCTCCTCCTCCACAGATTCAAGTCTGCCTGCCTGCCTGCTTCCTACTAGGACCTCCTACTAAGTCTTAATTACTTCTCCTTAATCAATACAATCGGCAGTTATATACCAGTACTTTTTTTTTTAACTGAGACCGAATGTAGACTCAATCCAGATCAGATCAGCTTGGACACATGTAATCAGAGCTTGTGTTTTTTTTTTTCGCTCGCTCTTCTTTTTTCTGAGCGTGATTCGAACTGAGAGACCGAAAAAAAGAAAAGAATCATCCAACAACTGAAAGACCGACCAAAAAAATAACAACAATTACCCAACTCAGATCAGATCAGATCACCCTCAAACTTTATCCACTTCCCGAGAATGGGGAAAGATCCGCACAGTCTTTGTTTTTTTTTGGGGGGGGGGGAGTCTTGGGTTTTCCGCACTCTCTTGATGATGCACGATTTCCAAAATTTCAGAAAAGGGGAAAAAAAGAAAAAGAGAGAGGAAAAAAAAAAAAACACGACAAATGCAAATGTTCGAGTTTTATGACGAGTTTCGTAAGGAGATTCGACCGCTCTTCCACTACCCTGCTGCTTGCTCTGCAAACGTTCTTAATGTAACGTAACGGAACGGAACGGAACGGAACAAAACGTAACGTAACGTAACGGAATAAAACGTAACATAGCCTCAAGATAACGTAACTTAACCACAACTTACTAACTTAAACGTTACGTAAAGGAAAGAATAGAGTTAGTGCTTAATATAACGGCCGTACTAAGGACTCCAAACGTAGAGAGAGAGAGAGAGAGAGAGAGAGAGAGAGAGAGAGAGAGAGAGAGAGAGAGAGAGAGAGAGAGAAGAGTGGGTAACGAGCGGTGACACTACCTAGCTGCTAAAAATCTTGAGTGATGAAAAAAGATGACGTCCGCTGAAAAAGGCAGCAGCCCCTGTAAGGAGGAGGAGGAGGAGGAAAGAAAGAAAGGCAACCGATGTGGAGATCTTGAACACTCGTTGCAGATCATTCAAGATCCTCCCTTCTCTCTCTCTCTCTCTCTCTCTCTCTCTCTCTCTCTCTCTCTCTCTCTCTCTCTCTCTCTCTCTCTCTCTC